TGCTATCCAGGATAGGAGATATCTTTTCACCTTCTAATTTCGCCTTCAATCTCTTTACAGAGTATAATAGTTTTAATTTTCATTATAAAAGTCATTCAAAAATAATCAAGATATGATACACATAAGTATGTTTGTTAAGTCAGCAGATGCTTATGTTTATTATGTATAACAAATATATGCTGAACAGCAAAAGACAAAAAAATGGGAAAATTTAATGAGTCATACCTTTACTGTTCTCAGTGTTTCACTGTTTGGAATGTTACCATATAAAATATATTATGTTCTAAAGCCTGATGCTTTGACTATTACTTGTGCAGCTTGATGCTCTATATTTCTTTGCAGGACTTAGGCTTGTGTAAGTGACATCAACTTAAAATATCTCACTACTCGATAGAAGTAGAGTTGTTTTACATCTGACTAGGTTGCACATTCTGTTGTTGTTTTCCTTGAACATTCTACAAAAGAACCTAAAATAACAAATGTATGAGAAAGAATATATAGAAATACAGTATTTTCAACATCTGAGCTTCTGAATACGTCACTAGGACTCAATAATTACCAGAAAGTTGGTCATCAGCTAGCTTTTGTATCTCCTTTCCTGTTTTTAACATACCAGGACTGAAGTTTTCTGCACAAAATCTCAGAGCTCTCTATAACCAAACAACTTAATAAAAAATGGCTATCTACTCGACATTTTTCCCTTGAAATTCCAGAAACCAACAAAAAGACTTTAATGAGCAGTTGTTTATCCTCTCCTTACAAATAAGTAGTGACAAAAGCACAGAAAAAACTCAGATAAAAAAATGTTTGAGACAGACTTCATGAAAATGGGTAGGTGAGGTTCCAAAGGGGTCAGAAGAACACCATTGAAGAGTCAGATAATAGAAAGAGGATCAAGAGGTGATATGTAAATGTGCCAATTTCCCAAGATGAATGCAATTTTTTGGATAAAATCAATTTTCATGCATATAAAGATATACCAACAAAAGAAATGGTCAGAGAATACCTGTAAACTAATGTTGGGTTGTAAAGGAACCATAAGGCATCAAGGGAAAATTAATTGTCTCCTGAGAGTTCAATGTCTTTACAAAGTTGTCCTTATACTTTAGCAAACCTTAGGAAGTCAGTACTGTCCTCTCTCTGGACTTATCGCTATTAATAAATACATTGCTCTTTTTAAACAATGGAGGCTGTAAATGAAAGTTAAAGTTTATGTTTTCTTCTCTTTTTTGTGGAACCGGGGATTGAACTCAGGCTCTTGCGCTTGCCATGGAAGCGCTTATTCCACTGAGCCATCTCCCCGGCCCCCAAAGTTTATATTTTCAAGAACAAAATGTTGGTTACTGAGTTTAATAGAAAATCTTAATTTTTTTCCTTTAATACATGCTATTTAATATATGCACTACCTATAAGAAATACACAGGTTATTCAAGTAAAAAAAAATTTAACACTGACATTCTCTTCTATTAGTACAATCCAAAAATAACTTCAACAGAAGAATAAAATGAAATCTATGTACAAAAAAATTTAAATCAGGAATAAGCAAAAACTTATTTTGGGGAAAATGTTATACATTTGAATGCATTTGGGCTGTATAGCAGGGACGGTGGAGTGTGTGGCATATAATCTTACCCAATTAAGAAAGAACAATACTAAAAAACTGTATTTTTTGATATTAGATAGCATAGAGACTCTTTAAGATATTTCATAGAAGGTGTGGTTGCTTAGCAACCAATGCTCCATGAGGACAAGTTCATTTTTAGCCTATCATAGTTTACTGAGTCTCACTGGTGTTGCTGTGAGTCATAGGTATGTAATTGTCCAAATATATCGAATGAGAGCTGTCATCAGTGTATGTCCTGGCACAGGTAAAAGACTAGCATATATTCAAAGAAATGGATTGTTTCTGTTAATACATCAGTGTCTTGCCCTCTTCTTGGAGCAATAATGTTGAGAAGGTGACACTGTCTAGCTGAGTCCTGCTCATAGGATTAAATCCCATGGTGTTCTGCACTAGTCAAAGAAGTAGAAAAACACAGGTCCCTAGCTTTATTTAATCCTTGTTAACATTTTAATAACCATGCTGCAGAAGCCTACAGACACATAAACACTTGTTAACTGCTTATGGACATTCGAATCACCATTCGCCAAAGCTATGGTCTGCAACTGATGAGTGCTAGGTGATGGTCAAAGTGACAATTACAGCTAGGTACTCTGAAGAATCAAAATAAACTTATTTTTGTATGAGCACGAAGACACCATCAAATGTGTCTAAGCAATGCACTAATGAGAGGGTGCTGCATTATTATCTCAGTAGAGAGAAGGAAGAGTGCCTGGAGAGGCTCCACGCAATCACCAGGGAAGATATAAAGAGACCTCTGGCCTCAGCCCTGTCATACCTGTGGGGCTAGCACTGAGCATGCACTCAGGCTCCATGTCTTTTCTGAGCTACCCTGAGCTATGCAGTGCTACATCCTATAGAGCTCACTGTTACATCCCGGTGACACCTGCTATTGCTTTTTGCCCCAATGATGTAAGCTCTACTGTTGGACATTGCTTACCAAGTAGCTACCAAGGAAATCTCTGGCTCCTGGACCAGTGCCAAGAAGCCTATTGCAACGTACCAAGCTGTGAATCTGCCAGCTGTGAACTGAAGACCTGTGCTACAAACTGTGACTCCCAGAACTTCTGTGTGCCCTGTGACTCCTCATCGCCAGGACAAGCCATCACTGCCTGCAAAAACAGCAACCTCACATCCAGCCCCAACTACAGCTCATGCACTCAGACCAAGGGGTATGTATCCAATTGCTACACAACCTCTCTATGTGCATCTAAAGCCTGCCAGACCTTTCGCAATGATTCCAGCGGCTTTGGGCAACTTAACTACTTATCCAAGAGACCCCAACACCTAAGCCACTGCAGACTTGGTGGTTTGGCATATAGAAGCTATCCGACTCTTGGCTTTTTCTCCAGTGGTTTTTCACCAGCATGTAATATTGCCAGAAGATATCAGCCCCGAAACTACTTAATGAAAAATTACCGATATCTGAATTACAGACCTATGAGCTATCAACCACTGAGCTACTCATGTAGCAAATTTCGGTCTCTGAACTGCAAACCCAGTAGCTTTCCACCTCTGAGATATTTGTGCAGTGGTAGCAGACCTCTGAATTGCTATTGATCAACTAACAACATCTACAAAGTGTAGACATTTTTCCATGAGGCAAATACTACCAAACAGGATCTCTAATATTCTGCTGAATTTCCCTATGAATTTTGTTACATTAACCCTACAGCTTATTAACCCCAAATATAATGGCCTGCTGGATATTTTTTGGGTGTTTTGTTAAGGCTCTCTATGTTAAAGTCTGATCCTGAAAGAAGTATTATTTTTAAGGCTATGACAGAGGCACAGAAGGGACTTTGCATGAAATCTAACCATCATCAGCTTTATCTTGTTACTGTAACTTGCCTGCCGATAAGACTGTCGCCTGCCTTTTCTTGAAGATGGAGGGTTTTTTTGGTTTGGCTGGTTTCAACATGGAAGGACTTTTAGGTGATTTTATTTTCTATTAATAGCTTTGTCAACTGTCTAGTATAATACTATCAATAAACTGTGAGATAACATTACCTTAAATATACTGGATGGACTAGTTCGTCCTTGCCATGATTGACTTTAAAATTGAGCAAATAGAAACAACTGACTAAAGCTTGAAATGCAGAAGACTTCAGTATGAGTGCTGGCACATACCTGTAATCCTAGCACCCGGGCAGGCTCAGGGAGGAGAATGGATCACAAGTTCGATTCCAGTCAGTGAAAATGAGTCACTTCTCAAGACCCATTCTCAAAACCAAAAAATGCAAAGGGATATGAATATAGCTCAGTATGAAGGCTCTAGGTTCAATCCTCAGTACTGGAGAGAAATAAAGGCTTCAATAAATCTTCTCTTCCAAAGAAGACCATTAATATAGGATGGACTGTCATGGGGTTTTGTACTCAATGCCTAAGAGAAAGGCTCAGAAGTAACTGAAGCACAGAAGCTGCTTGTTGAAGAAGTGATGAGCTGCCATATAGACTCTTGATTAGCTTTGGTCTACATTCAGGATTCTGTGTGAACAATTACTATGTCTGATGCTAGAAAAGATCCTGCTTTATGCTTAATAAACATTTTTATCTTTGAGGAATGATCTTTTTGCTTCAGCTTACATTCACTAAAGGTTTTTATCTTTGTCTGAGAAATATGCATATCTTTACCAGAATGCTAATTTCTTTTGATTTATTTTATAGTCTAAATGAAAAATATGAAGTACAATATGAAGTCAAAGTTTCTTGATTTGTTTTCTTGGTGTTCTCTTTCTTGACATATTAAATGCATTTGCCATCGAATGCCTGTGAATTGATTTTGACATAAGGAAATTTGGGGAAAATGCTTAAAAAATAAACCCAGTTAATAAAATTCCATACTAGTATTTGTTTTTCTTTGATGTAATATGAATATTAGTAAATTAATTACAGATAAAACTTGGGAAGTTGAGTATATTTAATATTGAGTCCCATGAGAATTGACTTAGGACCTATAAATTACATCAAAAGTGAAAAAAATCTATATATCTTGCTGATGAAAATAAAATGGGAGAGGGGCCAGGGAGATGGCTCAGTAGAATAAGCACTTGCCTGGCAAGCACAAGGGCCTGAGTTCAACCCCCAGTTCCATCAAAAAATAGATAAAATAAAATGAAATAAAATGGAAGCTATTATAAGTATTTTTCAAGTAGAAGTAAGTCATGTTAAATGCCATTAAAATGTATTGTGGAGACTACTGTAACTGGAGATCAGAATAATAGAGAAAGATTAAAAATATCAACAGTCAGTGTCTTTGTGCTTGGGAGTGTAGATCAGTGGTAGAAAGACTGCTTTGTATCTAAGTGTCCCTGAGTTTGATATTCAGCACCACAAATAAAAATAAAGAACACACAGCACTCAATATGGGAAACTAAAAAAGGATATAAGTAAAGCTAGCATTTTATTAATCTCTTTTTGGAATTTAATCTTTATTTACAGGACCCTGTAAAATGTCAAATTCCACATTCCACATAGAAATAAAAAACCCTTAGAGCTGGCCAGATAACTCAGTGGATTAAAGTACCTGCCTAAGCAGACACAGGGATCAGGGTTCAATCCTCTGAGTGTCATGCCAGCTCTGTCCCTGGAGTGCACTGAGATGGTGACTGAGACTGGGGGTGGTGGCACATGCCTGTAATTCCAGTGTTTGGGAAGCTGAAAACAGGAGTATCACTACTAGTCCGATCTGTGTAGTGAGACCCTGTAGACCCCGTACTAAATACTTAAGGAAAGAAATCCTTTCAGAAGATAAGCTTCATGTAGCATGTACAGTTTAGACCTGTTCAAGTACATTTTTATTATAAAAAGTGCTACAATGACAAACCATATTTAAAAAGAGTTCTCAGTAAAGAAACAAGCTTATATCAAACATAGTACACAACAAAAATGACTGTCTCCTTCAGCTGTATACCTAGAAGTTAAGATACCAACTGCCTGGTCCTTAGCTGGGAAGGTGAAGCCTTCAGAGATAGTTTAGGGCACAACACTTTTATCTTCTTTTTCTTCTATTGACAACTACTTCTCAAGCAAATTTATTGAGGTCTTGTTTACCGACTCTTTTGCATGGTTCTGAGGAGCTTCAATCTTGACCAAGCCTCCATATTCTTCAATCATTATACTAAGCTTCCTAATTTCACCTCATCTCAGCAGCCTAAAAGATACTTGAAATGGTGTCCAGAATTACAAGAAAATTTTTATATCTTTTGCAGTCAAGAGGTAGTTGTTGAGTTCAGGAGGACAGAAGAGGGATTAAGAGAAAGAGATTCATCTATGTGTGTAAGCAGGATGGTTTGGACAACTGTACTATGCATTTCTGCTGGTCTATAGAAAGGAGCAGATAATAATGTGTTTTATCTCTTTTTCAATTCTCTGTATTTTTCTCTTCTTAATTTCTTATACATTTCATTCTTTTTTGTTTTTTTTTTCCACTTTTACATGCACATATCTGGTAACATGAATAACTGGTGAGAAGACAACACAATATTACAACAAATACTGTGAAATTCATATTATTTTGTTAAGTGAAATTCTGAATCACTTGTATTGTTTTCTGTTTTAATTCTAATTTGTGCTCTCTTTAAAAAAAATTTAAAAAGAGTTTCTCCAATGATCCTATTATACCACAGTGAATAATGTATACAATCTGTTCAGCAGCCCAACCCCTTTAATAGTTGGTCATGGCCCACACTGCTTCTTTTTATGTCTTAAAGTCTGCCTTAGAGAGAAGACTGACCAGGTATGGGACTAATCCATGATTTACAACCTTCTGTATCTGGTCCAGCTGGAAATCTATGACATTTGACATTGTCCCTGTAGCTTCCTTCTGAATATTAGTTTAAGCGCTCCTGCTTCTGAGTCTATTCATTTGTTCCAGTGATGATATTCCCCGTGGCTCTTAGTGTGGAGTCATAAGGAGTAATTTATTTGATCCTAGAAGTGCCACCAGACAGGGTACAACTTCCATGTTTACAACCATTCAGTGCATGCATATGGACCATCAGTAAGGGAAGAAAGAGCCCAGCAGGTACCTGCTCAGACTTGGAGATCATTGTGATGCAAGAGGCAAAGTAGGAAGAATTTACTCAACTGAATCTAGTGGGCTGCAGGATTCTTGCTGTGGAAAGGTTTAAAGGGTCCAGGTAAGAGTGTGTAGGCAATCACTTGCTAAAGATGACATATCACGAACTACAAAGAGAGCCAAGAATAGGTCAACTGCACCATATTTGATAACCAAGTCTGGGAAAAGAGAATCATCACCTGCAATGGTTCCTAGAGTCAAGGCAGCTTGTTCACTGGTGTGAGCATGGGCAGCTGCCAAGAGAGCAATGAGTGCTGGAATCACACGCCCACCCACTACAGCCTTGGTCTATTCGGATAGCCCAGAAGCAGCATTAGTGAGTGCCCAAGCAAACTCAAGCTGGGTGGTTCTGCAGTCAGTTCTGCCCAAGAAGGCAACACATTTTGGAATTAACCCAGCACAGATTATATGGTTTATGGGGGGCTTTTTCCCCTGATAAGGCAGTTTCTTAACAGCTTGAGTAGCTTGCAGCTGGTTTTCCACATACTGCTGTTCATGCCTGTGACAGTGTCATCAGCTGTCCAATTCCTAGATCCCTGTGGCTGTGGCTTCCTGCAGTGGTTCAGCAGCACCAGCAGGACATGAACTGACAATTCTTTCTGGCCATCCTCTTTAGCTTTGCTTAGTTCCACATTAACTTCTATTCCTCATCAACTTATTTATGTACTGTCGCCTCTTGTGTTCTCAAATCTGTTCAGTGATGAAGCAGGTGAATCAGCTTTCTCATTGGTGGATGTTATGACACAAAGACAGAAAGCACCTGCCAATGGAATTGTCTACCATGTCCAAAACCAGAAATGGTGTGCCCATTTTATTAATCTTACATATGTAGGGGCCATTATATCACTCCTTTGGGAGTTCTTTAACTTATCAGAGTATTCCATTCACTGAAATATTCATTTTTATGTTAAGAGAAATATAATCACCTTTGTAAAACGTCCACTGACCATATAGGACTAGTTTAATTCTTTATCATTGGATAGATACTGAAGTATTTGGAAATAATGTGTGTGTCTTAGTTGAGTATTAAGTACTCCTAATTAAACATACATTCTTTCTCTTTACAAACCCTAATGGTAATCTTATTTCTTCTTAAATTGAGTGGAATTCTTTGGGGATATTGAGACTTATAGATACCATTCTCAGTAATTATTCAGGGAGGTGGAAATAGGCACAATGATTTCTTGAACATTTAAAGAACAATATAAAAATTTAAGGAGAAAAATGAAGGCTAATTCTAATAGGACGGAAAAAAAGAATACTTGGTGGATGTTTATAGCTGCACAACTCATAGTAATTACATCGTGAAAGATGCATATAGGCCTGAAACAGAGAAGTGGATAAAGAAAATGTAGTGTACGTATGTAATGGAGTACCATTCGGCTATAAAAAAGCAAAATAGTTAAATTGGAATCATTTATCAGAAAGTCCATAATCCTTCAGACCACAGTGCTTTGTGAAATAAATCAGACAGAAGGCT